AAAATTATGTATATTTTAATTATTATATTCTTATTTTTCCTGGGTCTCAGCCAAAGTGTGAAGTAAAAATTTTCAATATCGTTCATTTCATTACGTTTCGGCGAGACAACAGCGCCATCATCAGATTTAAAATTTACGCAAACTCACAATTGGTAAATATTAACGTTCTTTTAGGCCTTTGCCTTCTTGAAACCTTAAATTATTCGGAGACAAAAGTATATATTAATCTAAAAATATCACATTTATCTTTTTAATACGACAGGGTGTCCCACCGGGAACCGCCGTAATCGCTATCTGGCAAACTATAATTAGGAGAAATTTGAAAATTTAACAGTGTGCCGAAGTCATTGGGGGCAAGCGATCTAAAATATTTTCAAGATGACCAACTTGCTTATTTTAAATGGAACGCCCTATTTATTATTACATTTTTAAATTCTACTACAAATTCTAAATATATTTCATCTATAATATCATGTACCTAAGTCTAACCGTTATTGATTCAATTTTAAATTTTATGTAAAAAATTACAGTTGCAGCCACTCGAATAATTATTCACTTTGCGTATGAGGAAAAATGTGTTCTTAATTTGAGGCGCATTTCTTGCTGAAAAGGACTTACTTTAATGAAATTTCGACAAAATTTTTATAACTATTAATACAAAGTGTTAAAAAACTAAGTTTCAAAGTGATGTTGAGAAAATCGCCCTAAATAGAACCTTTTGAAAATAATTAATAATCCTATACATAAGGACTATAATCACCTGCTAGTTCTACGTGTTATTGGAACTATAGGAACATATGACTCTTATAGGGCAAAATAGGGGCCCTCTTAATTTACATTTTTAAAGATTTGAGTTATTCATTATTTATTTTAGAGATTTTATATTTTATTATTTATTGACTCTGGTTATAATGCGCAATCAAAGACAAAAAATTTGTGCAATCGAAGTCAATTTATTTACATCTATTAATGAACTAATTGTATTAATATTAACAAATAAATTAATTAATTAAAGGATTTTCTATTTGCGGCACAGGAAAAAACATTAGTAGGTATGTGCTTTCATATCTGCTTAATTCCGGACTCTATATGAAAATTGTATTGGAATTTTTCCAGTAAAGCCAAGTAGTTGTCAGATAATATAAGGAGGACAAATCGCAATTCTATTTTTTAATAAATAGGCATAACACAATCGTGCTGCTACTCAGATATTTGTTGACAAACATGTCGGTGTTACAGTTTATTTTTCGTGAGTTTCTAAAATATTTTCTTGACAATTTTAAATGTATAACAATGTCGAACGTGCACAAAGTTGACCTTCCTTGGAGAAGCTCTAAATCGCCGAAATTTACACGGAATTTCCACGTTGCGTTGTTTATTACATGGAAATGTATTCCTCTCAAAAAGTGAAAGTAGTCGCCGCAAGTAAAAAAATAGCACAGCTGAACACACACATGCATGGACTACTATTGAACTATTAAAAGACTTCACAGATTTCCATTGATCTCAAACGTAATAAACGAAGTAATAGATGAAGAGAAGCCACTTCTCTATCGTTCAATCAACTTTGCATATTCTTAGCCGAAAAATTTCCGAAAAAAAAAGAACGCTGATGTTGCGTCGTAAGGCTATGGGGTGAAGTTGAGTAGATCTACCATAAATTGTGCAGTGTTGTGATAAAACTCATCTAATGACAGTAAGTATGAAGCAAAAGAGAAATAGTGACGAAAAAAGTGAACTTGACCATTCGCAAGGAAAACCAATTGCTAAAGTATGCAAATTTCGGATTTGTTTAGACTCAGCGCATGAACTTGGCAAGAGCCACAGGAATTGCCAAATTTGAATTATCCAACCTAAATGCACAAAAGTACTCTCAACCTGTTTGAGTAGGTAACAAAGAATTATTCAAATTTTCTAAACCTGATTTAATAAGAGTACTGAATAAAATCAAAAGCAACGTGATAAGAATCAACCAACGCTTACTTGGTGGTATTCAGTGGGGGCACTTGAAACTGAAGAGGCACTTCTAGGCAGTCTTCGCTCCGATCCCGATGGACTTGGATGAGGAGGAGAGTCTACAACCAATTCCTCCAAACTGGCCACGTTGGAGTAAGTAGGAGGAACGATGTTGTTTGCCTACGCGAAACGAAAAAGTCAGCACCTCAAACATATACAGCTTCTCCAAATATACTTACCTCATTGACAGCGTTACACAGATAGCTTGAACTGATTGAGTCATTTGTGCTAGTAGCTGAAAGTGAGCCTGAAAGAACGACATTATTTTTCTACGTTGGATTCATCAGAGGTGTTTCATTAAGCCGGAGTTTGGAGGCAAACAAGAGCCACGATACCCTTATTATTAACTTGCCGGGCGTGAATGCGGATAGTTTGCGTTTATTGGGAACTAAAGGCGCTTAACGATCCAATGAATGGGAGATAATAAACGATAGTTAGGGTAGAGCATGACGTTTCAGATTTAATTAACAGCGCGCTGTACTCACCAATCGGTCGAATAAAGCTCCTGAAATACTGGATAATGTATCCAGTGGAAGTGTTGTTGTTTTTGATTACCGGCTCGGCATTGTAGCTAATCACCAGCGGGTACATATCAGGTTTCGAAGTCACCTTAGCAAAACAGCGAAAAATCATCAATCATCAGTGAATAGCAAAATGTTTTTACCTCAGAATACGGTGGTGGAGCTGCATGGAAGTTGTTACAGCTACTGTACTGAGGCGGAGCGTAGCAGGAGCCAATGGAGTCCGGTTCGGAACAAGAGCGATTTTGGCTTGAGCCTGTTCTGCAGCAGAGGCCCCCTTGACTGTGTTTGCGCCAAAGCGAGCAGGCACACAAAATGCCTGCTATGGTGGCGGTGACCGCTAACCAAAAGTACCTACAAGGAAAACCGGACTAAATACAAATTCTGCGGTTGAAGCTCGAAGGCCTTGCCAGTGTCCTAAAAACAGAGGATTAGCAAACATGTTCCCAGTTTGAACCGATGGTGGCCTGGCATAGGACGGTCCCACCAGGAAACAACATCCTTGTTTGCAGCATTCCTTCGGGGGGTAACAGCTATAGTGGCCGTCATTGCACTTGTTCGGTGTCAGTTGCTGAAATGGACAAAACAAACGGCATTATAGATAGCAAAAAGTCAGTTCGATCGCTTACAGTAGTCATAAGTCTGAGGGTGTCCGTGTTGTTCGAGTCAGCAGCGGAGGCGCAAGAACAGCACAGGACTGTTGCATGGCACCTTATTCTGCGGAACTGAAGCTCGTCGTTGGCCAAAACGAATGGAAGACAGTTTGCTGCGAAAAAGTCAGCAATAAAACTAAACTTTGCAACTAATCAATAAATAATTCCGGCTTGGCTTACACAACGCAAACCTGATCGATTATCGCATTGATATATAACATTGGCACTGCCTAGCAAGTACTGCGCATTTTTAGGCAAACAATAATCAGATTTTACAAGCAAAGGCGGTACCGAACCGAGACAAGGCACGTCAATTTCAACGCTTAATAATTAAATTGCGATTATGATGTAATAGTTCTGGCGGATACGCGGTGAAATGTACGTTTTTATCATAAATCTTGAGTATATCCAGCATCCATTCTTACAATATTCCTGGAGAAATTGGCCTCAGTCCTCCATGGGCAAGGTTTCGATGTTTCCTGATAAGCTGATCTGAATGGGTGTTAAATTAATCCTGAAAGCGCTCTCTGTTAAAAATTACCTCAAATACTACCATTATTTGTTATTCGGGCAATGTCGCATTCTTGTCTTCAGGTTCAGGTTGTAGTAATATTGCAAGTGCTTTCGCTTATAATAAAAAACATGCCATGTTGAGCTATTAGATTGGCTTCGTTCTGAGATAAGATTACTTTATTTAAAAAAACGGTTGAACTAAATATATCTAATTATCTCTAACAGGGATTGATTTGATACTCTAACAGGAATTGATTTGGAAAACATATGAACTCTGAAAAATTCAACCATTTTGAAATGGAAATCCTGAACTTTCTTGTGAAACCAAGTCAAAGATCGGACTAGGGCTTCTCCTCTTTTCAGGCTTCTGAAAGTTAAAAAACGCCATAACTCAAAAATGGGTGATTTCTAAACCTACTTATTAACTTTTTCGTAGGTAATTTCGAAATTCGTTTTTCACCAATTATGCTTCATCAGCATTTGAACGGCTCTCAAAAATTGTAACCTCTTATATCTCACGAATGGATTGAAATATTCAATCAAATGTTAGGACCTTTTCGATAGCCCGTATTGAGAACTTCCGTTCAGCAATCAGGTTTTGTCAGAAATTTCTCATTTCAAACGCAATAAAACAGAAAAAAAAACTATTTTTACTGCAAAATATCTTAACATTGGGATTTGATTATACACAAGTCGCGTAGGTACTCGTTCATAGGGCTTGCGTTAGTCAGCTTTTACTCTTAACGCTTTCGCTCTTAGCGTGTAAAAATAGAAGCTCTAGTTAATATAAAAAAGAAGAAACTAGAAAAACATACTGGAAAATTTAATTACACTGTCGTATTTATCAGTAGGTTTTTGGCAGTTTGGTTTCCTGGGATTTCGATCGAATTCAAATCAATTATTAGTGAACTTAAAATTATTTATTCATAATGTTGAGCGCAGTGTTCAAGATATCGAGCTGAAATTTGGCACACACCTAGGATTGAGACCGGAATAGAATCGATCAAACAGACGTTAAAATCGGAGCAGGGCTGTGTCCTCAACCGGACCCATCAACTTTTCCTCTGGACCCATTCGGATTAAAAACGACTGAAAATATCAGTATCATTTGAAGGATCTTTTCGAAAAAACATTTCTCAACTATCTTTCGCTATAAAGAAAACCGAAGATCAGAGTAAGCCTGCCCTTAAGTCGTTTGAAAGTTAAAAATGTAATCTACGAAACAGGTGAATGTATTTGATCGGTTGTAATGACTTTTTGATAGCCCATCTCGATGAGCGTGTTTTGGCATTTAGGGCTTATCAGAAAATTCTAACCTTCAAAGAGATAGGAGCGAAAATATGTTCGAGGTTTTATACAGAAACGGTTTAATACTTCTGACCTTATGGTTTTCATGGCTTTCATTATTTACGTTTGACTAATATTTCTAATCTACTAGAGCTAGGCTAGATAGAAACCAAAATTGGTCGAAACCGGAAACATAAATGCCCAAAACACTAACTTATTGCAGAAACGTTTTGAAATATCCAATCAGTTGTAATAATATTTTCGATAGCCCATGCTAGGAGCAAAATTTTATTAAATATGATAAATATCTATCATCCAAAGAGTCTAAAGGCAAAGTATGAAAATTAGGGCTCACGAAGTAAGAGAAGAAATCTCCATTCAGTACTAACTCGTGCCATCAAAACCTACTCAAGTTACAATTCGCAATTTTCGGGAATAAGATTTGGACCGATTTGGACGGTTGGTTTAAAATAAATGCTGTGAATATCTAGATATGTAAAGCAAATTATTTTTTTGCCCGACTGGGAGCATGACTTGGTATTAAAAACTGATAAGCTTGAAAATGTTCAAGAATTTCTACGTTCCGGATTTGCGCCTCTATTGTTAAAGTTTATATTTATCGTCTGTTGCGAAAACCTTAATAAAATAAGTATTCGCACGGTTTGGTTATACCCGAAGTTACAATGTGCCCAACGGCTTGTTTTAGTACCAAAATGCGACATTTAATCAAATCAAAAATTCACAAATCTTATTTACAAAGCGAGTAAAAAAAATTCGACAACATATAGTACGTACAGTACAGTCCACAATGGTGAAAAATATAATAAAACAGTACAAAATATATCACGTACAATCATAATGGAATAAATAATGTTAAATATCATTATAATAAATGTTAATCGTCATCGTCGTATAATAAAATTACATCTTAATGTTTATTTGTTGTTCACTGTCTTATGACTGCATTTGGTAGAAATTGGCTGCGGCTTATTTTCGACGGTTTCCTGTTAATTGAAAATAAATAGGAAGGCGCTCAGTTGATTACACACAATATTGATCTTGAAAAGTTCAAGGAGCAACCAAGATCACTCCAAACTGAAAATAGAGCGAAGTAGAGCAGTAAACCGAACATCAAATCTTATATCGAGCTGCTTGAGAGGAGCAACCCGATATAAATAGATGCGTACAAAGATCCATCTTAGAGCTTTAGATCAAACAAGTTTTTAATACGCCGTCTGGCTTTTTGCTTCTACTCCTGGAGGCGTATTAGCATCTTTTTGTCAGGCTATACACATTTAAATTCGAAAAAGATATCTTCTTCTAAGAAAGGCTTGCATCGCAAATTAGATAGTTGTGTTTTGTCCCAGTAATTTTGTCTTAAACCGGCTACTAATTAATTGTTACACAAATGAATCGAAGATAAATTAGGCGAACTTTTAGCATAAATCTTTCGAAGAAACTGGCTACAATTGGAAGGCATTATTAACCTAGGTCAATACCAAGCACTCTTGGAGAAGGAGGCTCCATGGAAATGCATTAAAAACAGTCGAAACTGGAGCGTTTTGGACATCTTCCAACTAGTATTCGGGGTTTCATTGCCAAGATCTTTGCCTTTTCAGGCGAAAACTCCATTTTATCGAATTCGTTTACTCAAAAGGTAGAGTTTTAAGTAAACCGACAAAGTATTGAATAAAACCATTTCAAATTGAACTCGATTTCGTATGTACGTTATAGCGTGATGCAACGTTACATTTTTATATTTACTTATATGAACTTGACATGAAGGAATAAATCTACCCAAGTGCATTGTGCGTTAATCGATAAAAACTAGGTTTATCATGGAATATAAGTGTATTTATAAACTATTTTCCATTACTATTATTATGCTAATACATGTTTGCCCCACTTTAGATGTGTGTGTGACAACTATAGAAGATGTCCGGAAAAAATGTCGAGGTATTTCAGGTTGTGAGCGTACTGAGTACTGTCGATATTAAAATTTATTGAAAATTCTTATAAAAATATCACAAAAGGCTGAAACTACTTGACGGAAAAAAATGCGTTAAAATTATGCAATCTGCCTTTATAAGAGGGAAAAAGACGAATTACATGAATTGTTTTTCCTATTTTAATCTCTAAAATATTTCCATATTGTTTCGGGACACTGGATATAGAAGTCTGAAAAGAGTTTTTATGCTTTGCTCCATGAAAAGAATAAATGTCCTAAACTCATAATGCTTGTCAAACTCTGGACAAGCAAAAATCCTCTTCCGTTTTGTGATCAAACCGAAGTAAACAGAACTGCGAACTAATGGAATTAGCCTAGTTTTCCTTTTGTGTATTCAGTTTGACTGAAAATAGAGATTTTTCGGTTGGTTCTTTGTCCTAGAAACCTTATATTGTATCAACAAAGCCACGGTGTTTTCTTAAAAAAAAACTCGAAATTACGTATCTACTATTATAGATAATTTTCGAAAAAATATTGCTCCGAGTTTACCATACGTAATCATGATTAGTTCGATCACAGGTCATCGATTAACCATTTCAAATTTTAAATACAGAGCTGGCTTAAATTGGGAAAGGCGACAATTTTTCTGTTGAAATACGACAGTTTAGTTTATTTTTTTGGGCAAGACAGTGGAAAATAAAAAGAATGTTCAACGTTGCAGTTGCAAACTGTGCTGTAACCTGAAAGTAGGGATATTGCCAGACAATTGTTTATAATAGTAGTTGAAAATGCAGCGACAGTTTGTAACAAAGAGTGTTCATTCCTTAAAAAAACTCGCTTTAGTATGCGGAATTGGGTAACGCACTTTCATTTCTTCAGATCAAAGAATTGCATTTTTCAAATCCAGAATCCCCTTTGATAGAAGAGATTTGTGGTCCATTGTTTGATTAATTTGCCAAAAAGACCCTGTTGAGTTGTATTATTAGGTGATTTTTTGAGCCAGGCGAAGGCGTTGATTTAAATCCTGGCCATATTCATCAGAATTCCGAAATAAAAAAAATATCAACTGACCACGCACGCCCCTGTTTATTTAACGTTCAGGGGTTGGAAAATGATAGACACTTAATGAGTTACAGCCTACACTTACGTGATTTAGCATGTATGGTGGGTGAGTGCGAAATCTTGGCAAAATATGTGCTCACTTCTGAAATTTGGACAAAAAGCTGCTTTTTCGAAATTAGGACTCGCGGCGAGCTGACGTGGATGCGGGTGCTGTGATCGACGCCATCGCACTATCCGTCGGGGCGCCGTGACGTAACGAATGTGGCGCCGATTCGTCGGCGCCGGATTTTGCAAAAATCTCTCCCAACGCGGCCGATCGAGATATCGGGGTTGATGCTGCGGAGGGATGTTATTGGAGATTCCTTTGTGTACGGGCCGGACCGAAATTGGGCCAAAAAACATTCGATTTCGAACAAAGGACACACAGTTTGTCCCGTTTTGAATGAAGCAAACTGTCCATGAAAATTTGCACGTTTTCTGCTGTTTTTTTTTCGTTTTCAAGACCCTTAAAATTTTTTAGGGAGGGAGAGGGACTAACCCAAACAAAGGCTGCAGATGAATTAAAAAATAATCTTTATTGGTCACAAAGGACCGTACTCCTATAAAAACGAACAGTTATTAAATGGTATCACATTACTTTCAGCTAAAAGTTTAAAGAGAGATTTAAGTTATTGAGGGTAGTAGGTATAATGAACTGCGAATTGAAGCAAGAGCGCCTAGAGTAGTATCTAGAAAAACAGTTTCCTCTAACCAAACTAGTCGCTTGCACGTTGTGGCAGACGATAAAACACGCTATTTATTTTCTACTACGCATTATTTGCATCGGCGTCACGAATCTGCTCCAAAGTGTCACAGGCGTCTAAAAGGAGCTCGGCCAGCTTGAATAACTCTTTTTGGGACTCTCCTATGCAGTTCTTCGCCTGATTGGCCAGCACTTTGATGTTGGTTAGATTGCTAGGGGAACACGAACCTTCATTCTGAAATTGTCAATTAGTTCCTCACCCTATGTTGAATGATTACCAGCTGCTAACTTACTAAAGAGTCTATATAGCGGCTTAACATAGGGCTCAGTGCGGCGATGTTTTCGCCCAAGTTGACCGAAGACGATAGAAACTGGCCCAATCGGTTCCCTGCCACTTTTAGCAAGTCTTCACCTAATAGTTCTGGCTCGTCAACGGCAGGAATAAGGTCCTGAGCCACCAAATCGTAGCCACTCATGTACAGCAATATTATCTGATATCTGCATAAAAAAACGGGATCTTGCGAAACTCGAAACTTATAACGTTCGTAAAAATAGCAATACTTGCATCGTAAAATTAGAATGTAATGTGGATCACAATCTGCAAAAGTCAAAAACACATTCAAAAACTGCTCAAAAATTGCCTGATGATGGTCCAAAAGCGAAACTTTTTCCATATGTAGAACAGGCTTTGCCTACAAAACGCTGTCGAAAATGAACCTGCCGCTTCTTTGGTTCCTAAGAAAATAAATTCCAACCAAACCCACGTCTGATTAAACAATCACAAAATTATATCGCAAATTTAAAAAATCTTGAAAATAGCCTGATGATGATTTAAAATCGAAACCTTTTGCCATTTATAAAACGGCCTACAAAATTTATACAAAAGTCAATTGGCCCTCCTAATTTCACCGGCCATAACAACTTCAAAGATCAAAAGCACATTGTAATTGCACTTTTTAAAAATTGCCTGATAATGACTCAAAATCCAAACTTTTTTCACATATCGAGTGCCCTTTGGCCTGCAAAAATACACGCGAAAGTAAATCTGCAGCTTTACTGGTTTCTCTGAAAATAGATGCCTATCGTAGGATTGCATAAACAGCCATAAAAGATTATCGCAAATTTAAAAAATCTTAAAAATTACCTGAAGATGATTCAAAATCGAGACATTTTCAATCTATAGGGCAGACTCTAGCTTTGCAAATTCCTGGACAAATAAATCTTAAACTAGGATCTGCTTAAATATTTGCGAAAACCAAACCTAAATTTGAAAAATTCTTCAAAATTGCTTGATATTTACTAAAAATCGAAGGTTTTTTGACACTTTGCACTACATAATACAAAAGCAAGTCTCTCACTTCGTTAGTTCCTGAATAAATAAATGTTTAATGTTAACTCCGGCCTGCAACAACAATCTGATAAACCAAGCGCAGTTTTCAAAAATTGTCAATAATTGCCTGATGATGACTGAAAATCTAAACTTTCATCACTTATATAAGAGACTTTGCCCTATAAACTGCATCCAAAGTTGAGTTTCTCGCTACGCAAGTTACATAGAAAATAAATGTTGAACTCCGACCTGTAAAAACCACCACAGCAATCAGACACGGTTTTGTCAAGTATGCCTAATAATTATTAATAATATAATAATATTGCCTAATAATGACTGAAAATCAAACTACTTCGCACTTGTAGAGAAAACTTTACTCTTAAACTTGATAGAAAAGTGGCGCTCTCAACTTTTCATCTTCCGAAGCAAATAAATGTCAGTCTAGGATCTATTTAAATATCCGCGAAAACCACATGCAACTATGAAAAATTATTGGAAATTTCCTGCTGATGAAAATCGAAACTGTTGGCACTTGTAGAAAGTAATTTAACAGTAACCAACTGTCTCACTTCGCTAGTTCCTTATTAAATAAATTGCTATCTCCGCCCTGAAAAAACAACCTCGTAAGCCAAACGCAATTTTATAAAATTGTCAAAAATTGCCTGATGATGATTGAAAATCGAAACTTTCTTCACTTATTTAAGGAACTTTGCCCCACACAATGCATCCAAAATTGACTATCTCACTTCACAAGTTATAGCGGAGATAAATGCTAAAATTCGGCTTGCAAACAATCACATGAAAACCGGAGGCAATTTTTAAATATCACTAATAAGGACTTGGAACTTTTGCCACGTATAGAACGAATTTTGCACTACAAGATTGATACACAAAAACTATGTAGTTTTACTGGTTCCTGAGTAAAAAGATTAAGTAGAGTAGAATAACCTTCATTTAATTGAAAGCTTAAGCGCGAGCTTTGGTTAAAGAGTGAAAACTTTGGTGTCGGAGGCAATTCAAACAGCCAATTCGATGTTTTTTTGGACAACGCCCTACCTTCTAAAGCTATCGACATTCAGATTCCAAATTCTAGTTAACATTAGGCACTTGTCCATCCACTCCATGTGCTCCTTGCAGTAAACCTGACCATCATCATCCAGGGTGACGGTTTCCAAACTGGAAGTGATTATTTTTCTCAAAAACTGTTCCCTTGAGGAATTCGTCCTCACGTCCGACTTGTTCCAGCTAACGTCTTGTTGTCGCTGCAAGTCTACACAATGGAATCTTAACTCAAATTATTTGAAACATCTGCTATAATTACCGGTGAAGAAGAAGCCGACCAAAGAAGGTTCAAAGAGATTGTTGACTGGTTTGGCGTGTTTCACATTGAACTTCGTGATCATGTGTAGCACTACGCAGAGTTGATAGTGCAAGTGTAGCAGGCCGTAGTCGGCACGTTTCTGTTGAACGGCCAGCTCTATTAGAGCCAGCGGGCCGCTATTTTCAAAGAGAGGTTCAAACTTTACTTCTGGTTTGGGTAGGTCGGGTTCGCTTTGAAGGGTATCGAGGAAAGAGTCGAGGAAATCGGTTGAAATTTCTGTGAATTTGAGAATATGACGACTCAAGTGGTAGATTCCGTTGCGCCAAGAGGCTCACCAATAAATTCTGCTATTTCCTTATCGGACAGTCCGGTGTCCTGCTGGCACAGTCTCTCTTTTGGCAATTTGCCCACTTTATTGATCAGCTTGCAGCTGGCTTCAAGGACAATCTTCAAATGCGTGTTCCACATCAGCTGAAACAGCCCAGCTCGAACACGTTTATCCGGCACTTCTTTAAGACACTGAAGGGCTGCTCTCAAATTACTCAAGTCCTTAATGTCTCTCCTCCATGCGAGAGCGTATTCCCAACAAACGTTCGACAACAGATTGTTGACCTCTAAGCTGTAAGGGAATTGCTGCTTTAGCAAGTTTAAATACTTGAAAACAGCCTCCGAGTTTACTTGCTGAATCATCTCTAAATGCATCCCCTCAGAGATGTCTTGGTTTTGATCTGGATTGGCTGAAGCTAGAAGACAAGCATGAGCGTGAAATAAGTCAAATGCTTCAAAGTGGTACCGTGTGAGATGATTTTGTCGTTAAGCACGATCTGTTGCGGACCGATACCGCACGTGGTCAGCCATCGGGCGGTCAGCTCGCTTACTGAGCCTTTGCCGTTTTGCAGGATATACTTTAGACTAATATCCACCTTTTCATGGCTGAGCTTTGGAAGCACTGGCCTTTGAAGCTGGGGCTTGAAACCCAGCACTAGGTTTAAGGTTGATATGTCTTCAAGTTTTCCTGTAATTGAAGCATTCATTTGCAACGGACCTCGTTTCTCATCTCCCCGACCTTACCAATAAGCAACGACCATTCTATATCTTCTTGTGTGAGCAGCTCCATATTATCTTCCAAATCCTGCAATTCGTCTCGTTGCATCACGTGCTTACAAAGCATGGCGGCCATTAAAGCTGGAAATGAGCGGGCATTGTTGGCCAAAGTCTCTCGGATATCACCCCAAAAGCCCGACACTCCAACGGTCTCCACATCAGCAAGAATCTCCTTGTTCGCCATCCTTCCTAAAGCGGTAATCACCTGCAGGAAGTTGTACATATCCTGCTCCAGGTTCAGGCTGATGTCCAAGGACCTGAACACCCAATAGTGAATGGCCAAGTTGAACAGGTCTTTTATTCGGACGCGACTGGCTAATAATGCGGAAGAAAACTCCGACAGGTTGTGGCGGGTTCCAGATATGTAGTCCCGGAACAGTACCTGAAAACAAAAAGATTCCAATACATTGTTTAATTAACAAATGTGTGTCCGCGGGCATATTGTGGTCCATGATTGCCTCTGCAAAGGGCAAATGGATATTGTATTCAAGTATTTGAATATGTAGCTGAATTGAAGTAAAACGTTTTGCCGAATGTAGAACATTTACCTCAGAACTTTTCAATAGCTCAAGCTCCTCTGTATCGGGCTTCAGCCCAATTTCATCGGCGCTTGTGAGATCGAAACACCACAAAAAGCTGGATACTGGGAAATTTTTGTAGGAAGAGAAGCGCACCCTGGGAGTATTTCGATCTTCGTTTTGTGTGGCAGTGGCCAAATCGAGCAATTTTTGCAGCCCCTGCAAGTCTCGTTCTTCTAAGTTGAGCTTGTTGTTGTGATCAGCGTTATTGTCGTTTTCTGGAGCTTCACAGGATGTGGATACCGCGAATAAGTACAGCTCCAGCACGGATTTAGCGTTGGTGCAAAGCACCCGGAAGGTGGATTGAGCGTCGCCTTCAGCAGGATCATCTAAAAAGTGCTGCAAACATCGCGCCAGTACTTCTGCAGATATTCTTTCGTGATTCAACAGCATTTCCAGAGTTTGCTGGCGCAATTCAACGGTCTTCAGCTCGGTGCAAATGTGAAAAATCTCTTTGTCCAAATCGACTTCACTTGGACAATCCGTTTTAATCAACTGTCGGAGTTTCTTGTGTAGGTGAATATCCCTGGCCCGAATGCTGCTCTTCTCCGCCAAGGCGAAATGAAATGGTACGGAAATTTCGCGAATTTGACCATCATTGTCCAGAAACACACACGTATATTGGCAAACATAACGCGACTTAGATGTGGTCGTAAATCCCATCAAACCGTGAGTAATATACAGCAGTTTGCTGTATTTAGATGCGGAAAATGTGACGATTTTCGTGCCTTGCTGCACAGTGAAGATTTCTAACGTGCCCTTTTTGGGCGAGTAGATTAGCAGGAATGTGGCCACTTTGTTGCCGAATCGGTGCTTGCTTTTACGTTCATCCGGAACCTGAAAAATCAACATTACGCTTGAAATTCTTTAATCTTATTTTTAATTATTTATCTTTAATTGAAAACTCTTTAATCTGCGTTTCCGATATTCCATCCTGGCTTTTCTTGCTGGGTATAAACTATCCGAAACTGACCTGCAAGAAGGCGCACTGGGCTTCCCTGTAGCCCTTGAAGTTTTTCAGGATCACTCCCCTGTAGGAGTCAATCAAAAGCACACGGCCAAGACTATCGGAAACTGCAGCAAGTTTTTTACTGGGAGACAAGAAAATTTCTGAAGCAGTCCGTCTCAAATCACATAGACCAAAGCGAAGCGCCATATTCTCCACTGGGTGCATTGCAATGGTCACCTCCTTAGTCTCGGACTTCGCCCCTGTTAGCCAGCCACTGAAAGAGCGATAAGACAGGCGTAAAGCATAAACTAACCATAAGCCACATACGGTAATGCCGATTTCAATTTGCTTGCAACTGCTTTGGCCACGTCGCTTAAAACAGGCTGCGTAACCCCCTCCAATGCATAGTGGTACCCCAAGAACGGTTTGGAACCGGCCGCCAGAACCAAAGTACTATTGGGGGCGGTGTTCCGATACTTTGCCTCAAATCCTCCACAAACGGAGGCAGTGAGAAGATGGTCGAATGTATTCGTCATGTTAAGGCCAATCACAGCCACGTCGTTGACACTGCTTTGGTCCTGAAAGCCCCATTTTCTGACGCTGAGCGGAACGCCTTTGAATTCTATTGGACTTCCTTTGGCTTGCACTGTTGGAAATACATGTTTGACGAATAGCCAGGGACTATTGACTGTCTGTTACCTCTCGCCAGCTGGCTCCTCAAGTTCTTCAGGTTCTCAAACAGCTGCTGGCCACTCACCAGACAAACATTGCTTTGGTAGTGAATATAGAGTTCTTCCGGATGCAATTCGGGCGATAAATCCGGCCGGGGGTTGTGTTGGCTCTGGCATTTGATGCCCGTGATATTTTCGCTGTGAAATTGCTCCTCGAACAATAAGTCGCCACTTTCTGTGTAGAAGCGCACGTAACCAGAGTCAAAACCTATAGAAAACTTGGTTTTAATTATGAAAAAGTGTGTTAAAAACGCGAATTGTGATTATATTATGTTGAAAAATTATGTTTTGTTTTCAGATGGCCTGCGGTTCGGACTGAAGTCAGCAAATTGGTCTGAGTAGTGGGTGAGTGCGATTCATATTATTGGTCAAAAGATATATGTAATATTAGTATTTAGGTACGATATTTTACTGCCTGCTTATACAGAGGGTTCCAATTTGGTTCCTTCCAATTGGCGTTCTTAGAAATATTTAAAAAAGTTTATAAGAATAAGGATCGGGGTTTTGTTATCAACGCAACCACGTATAGTTTACATGTGTGTTCACATTAGCGCAAACAAAACAATAAATATAAAGCTTCAGAATCTCAGACTGGTTTTGTCGACTTTTAAAGTCATCTGTTGGTGCGTTTCCGATTATCCGATAGACGATCGATTTCTGTCAGTGTTTTGACCAAATATCGAAGAAACTTGTAGCGGATCAGGCACGGCTCGGGCTCGGCTCGTTAGGTCTAGACTCGGGTTTACAATTTTGATCTGGAAATGACGTGGGTGTAACGTCATTTTCTGACGTCAAATTTGTAGATAATTTCTGACGTCTTGTTGACATCAGAATTAAACTGTTGCAGAGTGCAGAAAAAGAAAAATTGTGACAGAACATAAGTGAATTGAAGTAAGTAAGTATAACATATTATTATTCAAGCCAGATCAAGAAATTTGGACTGAAAATTCTGCAAACGTATACAACATTTCGAGTGAAGTATGGTTCCGGCGTTTGTCAGCGGTCAAAAAACAAAGCTGCCAAATATGTCAGATTTTCACATATGTAGTTTTAGGGAGTCTTGTAACTTTTTGCAATAATGTATAACTATAAAATCAGTGTTTTTGTCAATAAGACATTTATTTCGAGGTCAAGATTTGTCGTCATTTAGCATGTGACATTGTGAAGTTATAATAACGACAATTTAACGTCAGTGAACTGACGTTAGTCTGGCATTAGCTGCCCAAAAATTGAGGTTAAAAGGACGTCAGCCTGCTACCTAGTTATTATGTCTGGACTAATACTTGAAATTGAAACTTATAACAACGCGAGAGCCGACTATTGGACGCTCCGAAACTGCAAGCGCCCATGTGACTTAAAAAATGAGATTGTTGTTGATAGAAGTTGTGGCAGTTTGAGTGACGATATTATTTGAACAGGAAAGATAAATGCGACGGTGTTTGCGAAATTAAGAAAATACCGATATTGAATACTCGGTTTTTTTCAAACATCTAGACAATTGCTTGTGTTTCCTTTCATTTGAGTATTTTCTGTTTTGCTTGAGCTTTAAAGACCTTTAACCGCAAAGAACGGTTTTTCACAACTACCAAGAGAATACTTGACTCTGAAATAATTGCTCTTAAACCCATCGGCTTTCAGTGCCTTCATCTATGTGTTAAACTAAACTATCGATTTGCGAATGCGCATACCTAAAACAGTACAGATCCAATCAGGTCCCACGTGTGAACTGTGACTTTCCCCCACAATTGGGAGACAAAGGGCGGCTTTCACCTTATCATAGTCGTGAATGGAATCAGCAAAATTGATCTGAAACAGACTCCTTGATAAAGTTGAGTCCCATTTTGAGCTTAGGATGACCAGTCTCCTCTCATTGGCTATCGCCAACACATCGCCTGTCGGTGAGGCTGCTATGTGGCAGGTTTGAAGCCAGGACTCTGTACCTGATGAAAAGATATTGGTATAAGAGAGAACGTATTAAGTTTTAGGGGTAGTAACATTTGCGCTTATAGCGACCCGTTCAAAAATGCATTGCGAACAGTTGCAAATATTGGTTTTGATAGGAATTATCTATAAAAAAGCATAAAGTGCCCTAAGAGCTGTAAGTCCAAGCTCTAAGCTATAGCTTGCCCTAGTGGCACTTAATGCTACCTCTGTGGTCATCAGTCGGAAATAAGCATCTTCGGATGCTCGGAATATCTTGTATGGTAGCTGTCACGCGAATTTCACAGGACATTTTGTTTAAGCAGGCCGTCTTCCTGACGAATTTCTGTTTTAATTCATCAAACAATCATTTAAATACGGTTAAATCCAAAGGTTTTCAAGAGTTTGTAGCTAAACAATGCCAACGTCAAACACAGCTGATTTGTGTAAGCTTGACAGATCTGAGTCAGCTGTAAYTTGTAATAAAGAAAGCGCAAAATGCCAAACGGTAGTGAGACAAAGATAAAAATAATAACAATGTTGTTTACCTGATCTAGAATTYCAGGAAATAGGCGCAGTAGTAGCAAATATATATCGGTRAAATTCAAAAMGAAAAAATCACGCAAAATATRCATTTGGCAAATGCGCGAAATTTTTGCAACTATATCGCAAAGGCTTGGACGTCTTGATTTGCCCATGGAAAAGTAGTGAATATCAAACTTTCAAAGTAGCGAAAAACGMATTTTTTAAGAAAAGTTAAGGCTAGTGGTCGGTTTCGACTGTATCAGTCCCCTCGAATTCGWAGTTAATCATTGACTCGTGGTATAGTTAATCCCTGAACTAACAACTTTTTWGTGGTATTTCTTGTCGAAATGCGACTTTCGACTCATTGAAATTCATTGATTTTCCATAAGAATGAAAGTCGCCATAACGTCCACGCTGTGCGTCACACGGGTGTCAGGGCGCACAGTGTCATATTTTGGTTTTTCTTGTAAAATCAAACAACTTTTGATSTAATTAATGAATCGTGGTGATCGTGATTGAAAAAATCAYGACGATTCCTCGATTAGATCAAAAGTAATTTGATTTTAACACAAAAAAAAMCAAAATGTGACAGTGTGGCGGCTGTTCACACAGAACACCTCTGAACAGTTTGTTCAGACGTGTTYTGTGGCACAGAGTAGTAAATATCGCGTATTTGCCAAATCTATATTTTGCTTRTACCTACTTRAGTTTTTTAGACACATTTTGTAGTTCTGAATATAACAGATCCGATAATCAARGTTTAGTGGGTATTTCGAATAGTTTCGGCTAGTTTTGAGTAGTATTGAGTACCTGCTTTTGTTTAAAATCTATATTTGATTTTTTCTTAAACATGTTTCATAGACATATGGGTTAATTTTGGTAATTTGTTTTTAGTTTTTGGGTAGTTTGGTTAGTATTCGTTGTTGGCTGTTTTTTTTTATGGTCTTAAGGCAGCTATTTACCCTCAAAACGGGACTTTAGCAACCGCAGTAAAGCATCCGCATAATGAGAGTTAGAAGCACAAACTGCGTTGGCGTTCTTTGTAATCTTATAGCAAAGAAGTGAATTTCAATTAGTAAAAAGTGGCAGGAAGCCGCATTTCCACAAGAAACACCAAAAGGCAAAGTCGTTAGTAAAAAGATTATCTAGAACAAGAGCATGTTGTTAAATTCGAACACGTTTGGGCCTCAAACTAGTGAATTTTTATATTTTTCATGTGGGCAACAGTGGCAACCTGTGGTGGCAACTATCCATACGTTTTCTTTTTGTAAACAATCTGACATTCTAGGGTTATGTGTACTGATAGCAGAGACTGATAGACTCTGCTGATAGCAAAGTTCAAGTTTGAAAATTTTATGTTTTAATTATAATCTACGTCATTGTACAATTATCCTCTTTTAAAAGTGGTTTGCAATTTTCGTCCAAAAATGTCCCTTTCCAAGCCCATTATCAGTGTCCTTAGCTTTTATTTTGGCCAATTATATGAGCATCCTTTGAGGACCAAAGCAGTTAGCTGGTAAGGCAGCTTATTACACCATAATTAAGAAAATATTGTTTCAAAGTCTTAGGACGTTTGCTTTATCAGACGTAAAGTTTTTTACTTTATTAACGTTCGAACTCTGTCTTTTTTTTCTGTTTCTGAAGACGAAAAATACTAATCGCAAATTTCAGTTGCATGGTGGCCTTAGCTGGAAATTATGCATCCCAAAAGATTAGTGGGACCAAAATACTCAACATTCACACATTGGCTGCGTATGGCACCTTTGGGTAGGTGTATTTTAAATAAGTCTAATCACTTGCTCAAATATTCACGAATAAATGCGATTGCATGTAATTCATTCTTTAGACTGCTATTCGGTGGCTCCTTACCCCACTTTTTCTACAAGTTCTTAGAGCATGCAGTGCCAGATGAAGCCTCCTTTGCCATCGCAAAACGGCTCATATTAGAAAGGCTGGTTTACTCTCCCCTATACCAGGTATTTTCTGTTTCATTGCGGATTATAGTCAATAATCAAAGATTTTTAGGCCTTTTCGTTATATGCATTGGCAAGGCTCGAGGGCAAAGACCACGAAACGGCTGTTCAACAGCTGAAAGGCTTGTACTGGCTAGTGCTCACCTCCAGCTGGAAATACTTGACTATTTTGCAACTTCTTAATTTGAGCGTGGTTCCTCCAATGGTTGGTTTCGGTTGATTACTTAAGACTTTTTTCTTAAACAATTATTTTTTTAGTTGAGAGTTCTGGTAGTCAATTTAATAGGGTTCTTCTGGATCATATACCTGGCGAACAAAAGACGCCAACAGGAACTAACAAAATCCAAATAAAACTGAGACTGTTGTGTGTTACTAATGCATCTAATGCATGAATAGGTGTTGGAGTAATATGTGTCAAAAGTTGTTCATTTCGTTCTTTTAATGCTAATGAACTTTTATATTAGTAGCTGTGAAGGTTAAATAAATTTATTTTTATTTAATCAACTGGGCTTATTTGCGGCTGCTGCTTCGAGTTGAAAATAAAAAACAACTTTAAAAAACTAATTTTATATTTCAATTTACAATAAATGTTTTTCTGCCAGTATCAACTATTAAATATATAGGTTTATAAATTGAACATGGTACATAATAACAGAAACATTAATAATAACAATAATAAGTATTGTAAAACTGGTATGCAAAGTCACTTTTCAATTAAGGAAGAATTATATTAAGTAATCAAGAATAGTTAGTTATCAGCGGGTCTTCTAGGGTATTTAAAACGAAATACCATTAAAACTAATAACAAAATTCACCTAAAAGGCCATTGTACTACGTCAAAGGACTTGCTCATAAAATAATAAAATTGCCTAGTTTCATCAGAAGGAAAATGTTACAAAATTGAAAATAAGTTATTAAGCATATTGGTATAGAAGCAGATTTTATCTCTGAAAACGTATTATAAAATACAACTAATACATTTATTTTACCGCGGAATCGTTAGTACTGAAGTACTGTTGGCTCATTGGTCGAAACAACGAAAACATGTACTTATAAGCCTGAGTAGTTGCTCGAATTGCCAACACTTCTAGAAGAAAGCAAGTTTCTTTTAATTTCATCTTCTTGCTGATCCCTGGAACCATTTAATATTTTTGCGCTTAAGAAAACTACATTTAACCAAAAACTCACTTAAAAAACGCCAAGTGTTGTTCCAACAAAAAGCGATTACTACAGTGGGTTAATTCGGGCCAATGGGCGATTACTCTACGCAGATACATTTGCAACCGCTTGCGGCGCTCTTCTACCAACGAACTCTCCTGAAACACTCCAATTACTCTTAGGAACATAGAAGTTGAGAGCATACCTTTTTTCCTATGCTTTTTTTCGGTGGAAAATCGAACGTGCTTACTGCAGGATCCAACTTTTTCAAGTCGGAATGCAAAGCGTGAAATTGAGCGTATCTTCGGTAGATGTTCCATTCGTCGTTGCCTACTCTTAAGAATATTTGGTACACGTGATGGGAATTAGAACCCGAACCTTTAAAAAACAAGTTATGTAGATGACAACAGTTTACATTATAAGAAAGATAAGGCTGAACCGGTTAGTCATCTGCGGAAAGTCCAGAATTGTGAGTTTTTGTAATTTACCTGTTAAAAATGCCGAAGGAATCCATACATTGACACAGCCGGGTTCTGCATCGTATTCTAACTCATCCACCGACATGGGACCTCTAAGTGCCTCAAATTCCCTTTTAAGGCGATCCAAAACGGTGTCTTTCTGGAGCAAGGTTTTCTGTAGCATTACGTTGAAATCCATCAACTCGGCATGCATTTCAGCCACCTAAAAGTGTCAGGTTTGCGATTACTTTGCTCTAACACCGGATCTATTTCAATACCTGTATGAGCTTCTGCTCGTACATTTTAGCCTCATCTTTGTAATCGGGCGGAGATTCGGCTTCAATCCCGTCCAATTGCTGATGCATGCCTTGGTCGTCGCGTTTCAACATCTGAATCGCGCTCATATACTTAGTAAGTTGATTCTTTAAGGCCTCGTTTTCCTTGGATAAGCGCACTATGCGATCATCTCTGAAAATGAGCCAAATTAAATATTTTAACTTCCAATTAGATTCCAAAGGGAGGATATAAATAAGTTTTTTCTGAACCGATAGACTTTGCTGCTGTACTCCGTATCCGCCAAAAATGTCCATTCCCTATACAAACGCGTGATCGGGGTCTCGGAATGGTATAGTAAAATAAGCCATTTTTATATATTTTCGTTCCCGCATACATATTGGTGACCAGTCATGAATCCGTGTGAGAATCGAAAATTGTTCCGTGGCCCTACGAACAAATGAAGAACAGAAAGAAAAATGCATTAAACATGCCGCATTTAGCATTGAAAGAATTACACAGAAGAATGAACAAGAATACAGAATAATTAAGTTCATATAAGCTCTAAAACGGTCCATAGGTACTTTAATATTGAAATGCGGTTAAAACGGAAATGTTGCTATATTCGAAATATTTTTCCCACCGGCACAACATTTCCAGAGAAAAATCCGGAAAGTCCTTTTAAAACGAAACACCAAGGGATCTTTAATTATTCGCGCGCATAAAATTGCTGGTCTTCAAGTGATCTCATTTCAAAGTTTCGTGCTTCCTGTACAACATTAAACGTTAACGAAAACATTAACGAGTCAAATATTCATAACCGTTTTGAAACTAGGAATGTTCAAATTGTATCAAAATAACATGCGCGTTTTGCTATACTCAAACAAATGTTCTGTTTTCACGAAATAATTACCTTCTTTTAATCTCTTCTTGATTCCTATTCTCGACCACAGTTAACACGGCGGAAATATCGGTTGGTACTTCCAAAATATCATCCGATGTGTCAGGAGATTCCCTAAGATCTGAAATCTACTTGGAGGACTTCTTGGATAATTAAAAGCATCTCAGGCTTACCCCGAATCCTCTCTACAGAAACCGGAGTTAACTCCCCAATACTGTTCTGGTTAATTGGCGTCAAACTTCCCGGAACATTTGAAGAAAACTTTTCTCTTGAGCCACTGTTTTCTATTGACAACTGTCTGCCTGTTTTCGGCTTTTCCGCATCTTTGGCACTAGGAATACTATTCGTTGCAGCATGTTTATTGTCCATAGTCTTTTTACTGTCCGAATCTTCAACCAATCGCTGCTTGCCTATACTACTACTGTCTGAGCACGTGCTGCTGCTAGAAATCGACGGAACGCTGGTAGACAACATGCTGTCGTCTTCGTCGAATGATATGATCTGTCTAGCCACTTTACGTCTGCTTTTATTGTCTTTTCGGTCTTTATTACCTGGAACATAGAGCCGTAACAAACAGTTTGCGAAAAAAAACTCGAAAATACCTGGAATTGGAACCTTAATCACAGGCTCTTCTCGATGTCCGACCAGCATGGGCCTGGGTACGATTGAAGTGTTGAACTCGACTTTATCAATGCTTATTGCAAACAATATAGAGCCGAGCCCTAAAACAATTGGTGGTTGCTCTGGTTAACTTCAGTAAAAAAGAACTTACCTGCCGCCATGTTCGGCAGCATGCTGTTTCTGTCTTCATCGCGAAGCAGAGCCCAAGACTCATAATGTTCTTTAAGGATGAGTTTGTCGCTTAGAACTATGTGGAAATACCTAGAGCGAAATGTGGCTTTGAAAAGTCATCATCGGAGATCGCAAGATGTTTGTTAAGATCTAAGAATGGTATAACGAGAATGCGTAATTCTGGGGTGTTTTAGTTAAAATACGAACTAGCCGGAACTATAGAATCTTTTATGTAAAACGCGGTTCTAGCATAATTCTGTGATGTTAATTTAGTCAATCATGCAGCCCCAACCCACCTTTCTAGGGACTTCTCATTTAAGGCAGATCGAACCCAAGCCTTGCACTTGCCGATATCAGTCCAAATATTCTTCAGAATATTGAACCGCTCGTTTTCATGGTTTGTGAGGTGGTTCTCCACAAAAGTCCAAAATGCTAGGATAGGAAACATTATTTCAAACAGTGAGACAGAATTTTCCGGTTTTTATACTTGGATTCAATTAATTAAATAAGCTTGAAATTAGAGCATTAGAGCAGAGATTTTAACATGATTTTTGCTAAACACAAGATAAAGGTTTCTCTCGTTAATCCTAGATTAATGTTTTAGTGCTTACCTATGCTTTCTTGGCGGATATGTAAACTTTGAGCAACAATATCAGATACCTGCTTCAGAGCTGAATTAACCTGGTTTTGGCTGGAAAATGATTTGGTTCTCAAGCCGTGAAGGAAAACGCCTTCAAGGCACAAGCAAAGCCCTGCCACACATGAATCAAACTCGGTTGCTAGCTCGTTTTTTCCGCCATATCTAATAACAAAAGACGGGTTTTTAATTTGATTTCATAACATTCCTGTAGATGAATGAAGTTGAAACCACTTGCATGCTGTTGCTTACAATAGAGCGAAAGTAAATTACGTCAATCAAGGTTGTCCGTGCGATGGAAATTTCGATTTTTTGCGATAAGTAGGAACTGTCTATGACTATGCTGATAGATTTAGAAGAAAATTCTCACCACAACTTAGAGTTGGAAGAAGAGATCTTGTCTTTGCATGTCTTACATCCAATATCGGCAATAGTTTTTGTTTCATATACATTTTCAGGCGTTCAATACCTTTGAAATTTTTTGTACTAAACGGATTCTAGTATTAATGGAACATTGACAACATGATTTATAAAGAAAATTACACTTAACAGTTTTCTAAAATTTGAAATAATTTAAGCGATGAGCAGAAAAACGAATTCATTAGAAAACCAAATAAGCTTCATTGTGACAATGTGCATTTAGCTTCATGCAAAAGTGGAAATTCTGCTTAAATCGTACATTCTCCAATATATCAAAACATATTCTTATTTTTTATTCTTATATTGGAATGTGGTTTTGCGTTAGAAATTTTACTTTTCAAATGTCCCAATTATTTATTGGATGGTTCTTAATGAATATTTTCAATGCATTTACACTAACTAGTACTTCCCATAGATTAACTAAGGTACTTCCTAATCTAATATATGCCTTAACCTGTAATATTCATCTAGAAGATGTTGCGAATGTACATCTATACATAAACGAAGGTTTGAGTTGCCCAATTAACCACCATTATGTCCATTTGCACCACCGTGTGAACTTAAACTTAAAGAAACAGTTAACTAAATGCTTTAGAAAGTTCCAACTTTCACAAGAGATTCAAGATGGTTTTGATAAGAATCGTATTCATTGAGTTCATGTGCAGTTTTCATATTGTATTCATTCAATTTACAATTTTTCAATTGGCAGTATTCAAAGTCGTTAAAGAGTTTATTTCCAAATTAATCAGAAGAGTATTTAATAGCATTGTGACCTTTTCAATGGTACAAATGTACCAATGAAAAAAATTCTAGATCAATAGTTTTATTTTTAAATTAAGCCGCGGCCACCGTAAGACGTTT